ACTTTTGTCCAAAACTAAAAAAATAAAAAATCACTAAAAATAATAAACTAAAAATCAGGACAATAAATAACCTAAAAAAAAAAAAAAAAAAAAAAACGAGCTGGGAAAATCTGGATTCCACCTAATTCAACTTCACATAATCCCCCAGTGCCCTATATATAGAACCTGCACCAGGGGTTGTGAGAGAAGGTCTGAAGACTGAGGAATGAAAGTGTGTCACCATGCAGTGTTCATTTCTCTGGTAGACTGTCTATATATCAGATATGGAGTACTCTATTCCTATAAACATTGTAAATTTTAAACAATATACAAAAAAAAAAAATTAAATAAAACTACTCCTTTATTTTAAAAATTTTTTATATATTATGTTAAATATTTTCTATGAAGAATAAGTGTAAACTCTTATAGAATTATACACCATAACGTTACTTCCCTGTGCCATTTCTATAAATAATTTCATGGTAATTGTTCTGATAACATTTCCTCTCAGGTTCTTAAATTTTACAAATTGAAGCATAGTACTAGATTTGCAGCAAAGTCTCATCGTATTACAGTTGAAATGGTTAGATGTAACCACAAATTCTATGCTAACAGTTTTTTTTCTCGCACTTCTCATTTGTGGAACTTTCTTCTGGCTTCTTGATTTCCAGCCAACTTTGTTCTTCAAAAATTTAAATGCAATGTCAATCATTTTTCCTTCTGTCTTCTTATTTCCTGTTTTTTTATTGTTCTCACTTCTTAATGTTTTTTCTCATATTAATACTTTGTAATCTCCTTGTGTCTTAGTGGCTTTATTGCCTTGCTTGGGGTGAAATGATTAAAAAAAAAAATTGTTGTGACAGGTTTAAAGATGAAGAATCAATGAAAAAACAAAAAAGAATAAATCATATTGCTGTTCAAAATTTATGCTTCTAATCAAAATTGATTGTAAATGTTGTTTAGTTAAGATCAACCTATATGTGGATTTAGCATGCTTCATCTTTAAAAATGTCTTCTTGTATAAATATACTGGGCCAAATGCTGAAAATGTCACACAAAAGAATTTAAACTAGACTATCTTTAATCCAACTCATTCAGGTAAGTTTAAACGTTCAGTTATATACAACAGATTTCTCAGATGAATGATTAAAAATGTCTTCAAGCAAATAAAATCTGTTGATTTTACTGATGAAAATCCTTCATCAAATCTCATAGACTGGTACTACAGAAAAACAAACAATGAAATTTATCAAATAGCAGAATACACATCACCTGAAGACTTTCAATAGCAGCAATATTTAAAATGGAAAACGTATGTATCTAGAAAATAATGATATAATCAAAATTTTGAAATTCCACACTATCTTATCCCTTTCAAGTCCCCTAGGACATATGTCACCCATAGATGTTTTCAACACATCCTGCGGGACATAATTGTCCCCAAAACATATTAATATGGGATAAAGCAAACACAGTATTCCATTGATATATTTATAATAATAAATTCAATAATATTATTTTTCTAAGTCAAAGCCATTTAAATATGTCTACTGAAGTGAACAATAATATTTTTTGCTGTATACATCAATTACACAAATGTGGACATGAAAGAGTTAAACTCCTATCAATAATAGAAAAAGTGATAATAGAGACCTTGAGTAACTAAGTTTCCCAAATAAATGTTTTAAGAGAAAGATGTTTATAAATTTCAATCTGCAGTAATGTATAACTGCTTAGTCAATCAATGCCAAATGTTTCCTTATAAGGAAACAGCTAATAGCTACTCTTATCATTAGCGTTTTTCTTTTTTTTTTAATCATTTCTCCCAAAGCAAGGCAATAATGTCATTAAGATGCAAAGGGTTACTGATAGAGAATATAGAAAAAAGAAACCATTATTAAAGAGAGAGGACAATAAAAGAACAAGAGTTAAGAAGACAGTAGATAACAATTGACATTGCATTTAAATTTTTGAAGATCAGAGTTGATTGGGAAGCAAGAAGCCAGAAGCAAGTTTCCCAAGTGAGAAGTGCAATAGAAAAATCTATTAGAATTAAACTCATGGTTACATCTAGCCATTTCACTCATAAAATGATGAGCCATGTTTGAAACCGTGTTTATGTCATTACAAGTTGTGAATAATGACCACATGATTGTATGCAGTTATAAATAACATAAGTACAATTTCAGACTTGGCATTTGTAAATAAAAACAAAATAGAGATAAATTTTTATGAAGTCAGGGATCAATTTGACTCTGTATTTGTATTATGAATGGGACCCCTCCTTTTAAAATGAAAAGAAATCAACTTTTTTTCTATTCTGACAAATGCTAATCTATGAAAATTATTCCTCCCAGAAAATTTATCTATTTTATACAAAGAAACTTGTAAATTTAAGTAATGCCATAATAAATAGTATAATAAAATATAGTAAACGTAATGAGACTAATGTCAACATGGATTTTTATAAAAGGATTCTAACTACTTCTTTAAAAACAACAGAAAATGAAATAACATTACCAAAAGCACAGATAAATTAACTGAACATACAATTTGAAAACATAACTATCCATCACCTTCACAGATAAAAATTGAAGAATTGTGATTATGGATGCTTGTAATAAACAATAAACTATCTAGCTATGTTTGGAAAAGTAAGAATAATTGGACTTAAACTATACCATGAAGACATTCACTAAAAATTAGAAGCTAGTAGTCTATAAGTGAAAATCTATAACATAAATATTGGACATAGAAACATACATATTTTTTAATCATTTCACCCTAAACAAGACAATAAAGCCACTAAGATGCAAAGGGTACTGAGTGTTAGAGAATATGAGAAAGATCACTATTAAGGAGCAAGAACATTAAAACAATAAAAATTAAGACAGTAGATAATGACTGACATTGCATTTTAATTTTTGAAGATCAGAGTTGATGGGGAAACAAGAAGACAAAAGAGTTCTACAAGCGAAAAAGGTAATAGAAGAAACTGTTTGTATAGAACTTGTAACCTAGAAAGGGTTACTGAATGAGGGATAACCAAAATGGAGGTTGGAAATGAAATGGTAATCTTTATAACATCAACAAAATACAATACTCGCCAGAGGCATGAAGTAGGAAAACCACTGCTAGTGGTGAACTACTTAGACAGATTACCCCTACTTACAATTATTACAACGTATTATGAGGGTTGAGACATACCTATTAGTGTTCATAGGTATGGTATATAACAGAACTCATGGTTATATCGAGCCATTTCAACTGTAAAATGATGAGACCTTGCCACCAATCTAGTACTACACTTAAATTCATAAAGTCTAGCTACCACAGAGGAAAGTTAATCAAAAGAGTTATCATAAAAGTATTTATTGAAAAGGCACAGAGAAGCTACGCTATGGTGATGGGGAAGTGACTGAAGCTGAGACGCTAGGTCAGGACAAATAACATTGCAGATTCTTCTTTGGATTTTATCAATATTTCAAAATATAATTCTAGTACATAGAATATATCTCATTAGATACAAAGAAAAGAATGCTGAACTGATAAGTAATGTAAATCCTTCTATATAGAAATGAATACTGGAATTTCTTCAGAGATGAAGAGAAAACTTGTGGTTCTACAGAAGGATGTTAAAAATACTATCAATGGTGCATGTAAACAAAGAGAGAGTTTTAAGGAAAATAGAAACAAAAGGATGCATACTTAAAAGCAGAAATATAAAATTGAAATTTCTGGAATGAGGGAAGTAGGTTTGGAAAATGTAATACTCAGAGGATGCATTAAATGCAAGAGGACAGTGAGAAACAGCAAGCCACCTATCTTGTGCAAATGGACTGCCAAACAAGGTGTGAGAGAGATAATAAAAAGGTAAACACAGCTAAGAGATACAAAGAATAGGATGTTGTGGAGAGTCATGATCATCACGTCCTGAAGGGACACATAGAAAAAAGTAAATAAAAATTCACTCATTATTTCTATCTACCCTCTCTCTCTATCTCCCACTTTATCTCTCTCTTTTCGTTTACTTTCCCTCTGTAAATGCAACATCAAATGTCACCTTTTGTCTTCCTGAAACCGGTTCTTTTATTGCTCTTTCTTCTTACTAAAGTCTTCTCAGTCTCTTTCACACTGAGTAACCCCTTACATCTTAGTGGCTTTATTTCCTTGCTCGGGGTGAAATGATTTAAAGAATATATCTATATTGTAATATTTAACAGATTTTTTTTTTTTAATTTTTTAATGAAGGAATTCTTTTGTACAAAAGTAAAGTTAAAATTTATGATGACCAAATTACACTGCAGAAAAGTCAGCTAATTAGTGAGAGTCATTTAATTAACAACTGTGGAACTTGCTCTGCTTTAATGAAGACTGCCAATGATGTTTGGAGATTAAAATCAATAGCATTCTGGTAGAAGGGGCATTCCAGTTTTAGCCTAGAATGTTTAGAATCTCTTGATATAAAGTATATATATATATATATATATATATATATATATATATATATATATAAACAAAATGGATAACAAAACAGTCTTTTCTATGTATTGCACAAATAGTATTCAAAAAGAGATTTTAGGTTTCATTGTAAGTAGTTGGAATCTTCCAGTATATCAAAGTCAATCATGTTGAAAAAAAAAAAAAAAAAAAAAATAATAAATGATCATTCAAAGATTATCATAACATCACACATTTTTTTTGAACTAATGAGGCAAAAATCAATCAGTGAGGCCAAGGTTCATTTTTGAGAAGCCACATGGTGAAGGACTCAAAAATAGAAACCAAATCAAAACAGCCCTTTACTTAAGTTAATGAGCTGAAATAGGGACAGACAATGTAAGGCCTATTTGCATTAATTTTTTCAGCCAAACTGAATTCAATTAAATTTTGACAATACCAGAAAGTTTTATAAAATGTATTTTTTACTTAATAATTAACCTGATTTGAATTTTAATACATTAATTTTTTACATATTACGCTGTATATAGTAAAGAAAGTAGTAATAAACTAAAAGGTATTTAAAAAAGTAAATTAAGAGAAAAATAAGGAGAAAGATGAAAGAATAAGAAGAGGAGAGAAAAATAAGGAAAAGGACAAAAGGAAAAAGACGAGAGAGAAAAAGGGAAAAGGAAAAAGACGAGAGAGAAAAAGGGAAAAGGAAAAAGACGAGAGAGAAAAAGGGAAAAGGAAAAAGACGAGAGAGAAAAAGGGAAAAGGAAAAAGACGAGAGAGAAAAAGGAAAAGGAAAAGACGAGAGAGAAAAGGAAAAGGAAAAAGACGAGAGAGAAAAGGAAAAGGAAAAAAAGACGAGAGAGAAAAAGGGAAAGGAAAAAGACGAGAAAAAAAGGAAAAGGAAAAAAGACGAGAGAAAAAGGGAAAAGGAAAAAAGACGAGAGAGAAAAAGAAAAGGAAAAAGACGAGAAGGGAAAAAAAAGGGGAAAAGGAAAAAGACGAGAGAGAAAAAGGACAAAAGGAAAAAACGAGAGAGAGAAAAGGACAAAAAGGAAAAGACGAGAGAGAGAAAAAGGAAAAGGACAAAAAAAGAAAAAGGAAAAAGAGAGAGAAAAAGGAAAAGGAAAAAGACGAGAGAGAAAAAGGAAAAGGAAAAGACGAGAGAGAAAAAGGGAAAAGGAAAAAGACGAGAGAGAAAAAACGAAAAAGGAAAAAGACAAGAGAGGAAAAACAGAAAAGGAAAAAGACAAGAGAGAAAAAACAGAAAAGGAAAAAGAGAGAAAAAACAGAAAAGGAAAAAGAGAGAAAAAACAGAAAAGGAAAAAGAGAGAGAAAACAGAAAAGGAAAAAGACAAGAGAGGAAAAACGGAAAAGGAAAAAGACGAGAGAAAAAACGGAAAAAGAAAAAGACGGGTGAGAAAAAACAGAAAAGGAAAAAGACGGGTGAGAAAAAACAGAAAAGGAAAAAGATGGGTAAGAAAAAACAGAAAAGGAAAAAGACGGGCAAGAAAAAACAGAAAAGAAAAAGGATAAGCGAGAAAAAACAGAAAAGGAAAAAGACGAGAGTGAAAAAACAGAAAAGAAAAAAGATGAGAGAGAAAAACAGAAAAGGAAAAAGAAGTGAGAGATAAAACAGAAATTGAAAAAGACAAAAGAGAAAAAACAGAAAAGGAAAAAGACCAGAGAGGAAAAAATGAGAGAGAAAAAGGGAAAAGGAAAAAGATGAAAAGAAAAGTAAAGGAAAAAGAATTAACAAAAGAGAAGTGATAAAAATTTAGAATCTGAATGCTATTAAAAAAAGATTATTGAAAATTAACTTGAATCTATATTCTCATAATATTTTATCTGGCCTCTTTTTATTGATAGTGATGCTTTAATTAATAAATAGAGTTCTACCTAACTTTCTAAGTTGAGAAATTATCATTATCATACATAGTTTTATTGAAATGGATGACTTCATTATAATCACAATATATCAGCCATTCTATCTTCAAACCTTCTTCCTGTGCCTGTCATATTCAGTAGTGATAAACTTTTGAACATATGCCTTGGAATCAACAAAACACTCATATTCTCACCACTAGTATGAATAGTATTTTCTGTAGTTAACATTTATGCTGATCATAATGTAGAAAACTTAGATACACTTTGGCATTCAATATGGCATTCATCTGAGATATCTGAGAGAAGCACATGATAATTAAATTTGTGGAAATTTTGGTCTACCAAAAATGCACAATCATACATATACACGATCACAGATTTGTTTACCAGAAGTATAGAATCAACACACACACTCTCACACAATCACAGATTTGTTTACCAGAAATGTTCTACCAGATATGATTACAGGTATGTTTACCAGAAGTGTACAATCCAACAATATGATCACAGATGGGTTTACCAGAAATGTACAAGCATACACAATCACAAATATATTTATATTCCAATAGGTAATGTTCCCAAAAATTTAAACAGAACACTTTATTCAATCTATAGGTGGCTAAATTCTCTAGTCCATGCTGAGAAATTAATTGAATTATTTGATGCCATGTTTTCTGCTTGCTTCCCTGAACCAGAGCAGAGAACACATCATGGCCTGACCCAGGGATTGAATTCACCCCCCCACCCCAAAAAAATAAAACACTGTATATACTTAACTCATGTTTAGATTTAACAGGAAAATCATCTTGTGGAATTTCAGTGTCTGAAATCTAATGTTTCTTCATTTTTAATCTTCTGAAATTCATACTACAGATATTAAATAAGTCATCTTGAAATGATATTTTAACAGAATCAGTTTGACCAATTTGAAGTGCCAATAAATCCTAGGAATAACATTGTTGCAAGTATCTTTTTTTTTTTTTTTTTACTAAATGTTCACACAATACAAGGTCCAAGAGCCACTCAAAGTAGAGGACTTACTAAATGAGGTTGTTGTATGGATGTAGGGAGGAAAAAAGAGCAGGATATGTAGAATAGTTAATGGGTGATCTTAAACTTGAAAAGTTTAAGATGATAGTGTTTTTTGGAAAGAATCCTACCATGAGGTTGCACTATAAAATAGCAAGTCTTAAGTAGCAGTCTAAGTAGATCTTCTTCCTTACAAATGAAATACAAATGAGAATGGTTCAACCCTGTATATATGACATGGTAAGTCGTAGCAGTAAATGTCTGAATTGGTGTTACTAGTCTATATAATATCCTACAATTTATTCAAGAAATAAAACAGTATTCTAAAATATGACTTCAACAAGACTACAACATAGAATGCACATATTACTGTCTCTAGGAATCATGTTTGCACAAACATGTATATGCACAAAAGCTTAGTATCATCTACCATGTGTTCAAGTGTGAAAGCAGAATAACATATATCATATTTTCATTACTTTAAAGCTCCTAAGAAAATGAAATTTCAGCATTAAATGACACATGAGGTGTTGATATGCTGTTAAACAGACAAATCAAATCAAGACCGGTGCAGTGTCTCACATAGATGCAACTGTCTCTGCTACAAAGCAAACAATTCTTTTATAAACATATTTAAATAAAGTAAGAGAGAAATAAAAAAAACAGAAACAAAATAGAAAGTATTAAGATACTTGTGGTAAAAAATATGTATATATTAAAAATATAATTTGATATCCGTCATCTGTTTTCTCATTACTGTAAAATACGTGCAACAATGCAATTAATTATATTCATTGCAGCTACTTCTTAAGTCTTCCTTTTTCTTTTTATTGACAAAGAACTAATTTCTGAAATAAATTTTCACAAGAACCTCTCCAGAGAGTTTGTCTTTTTACTGACATCAGGAAATAAATTTTAGTTGTTCCTATCAGTGTAACCATCTTTTTTTAATTGTGATATTTTCTTAGTTTTCAACAATCTTTACAACTTGGAATTCATCAAAAGAGAGACTGAAGGTAATTTTAGTGATCATCTGAAGTTAGCAGATAAGGTATTTTCAGTATGATATTTTTTTTTTTAATTTTGACTTAATTTTTCTTGATTTTTTTATTCCAAAATTTCTAGCCATTTTATCTATTGGTTGTTAAATAATAATAGAATTGTTCTTACCTTCTTAGATAAAATGTTTTCCTTATGATATAATTGCTTTAAAATAGGTTTTATCAATTTCTTTGTAATCTTGTATATTTTTACCAAGATGTTTTTAACTGAGCCATTTTTCTTGTTAAATTAAGAAATTATATATATATATATATATATAGATAGATAGATAGATAGATAGATAGATAGATAGATAGATAGATATAGATATAGATATATATATAGATAGATAATATTAGTGGTAAATATAAACATACATATGCAATCATATATCTAAAATATATAAATATATATAAATACACACATACATATATATTTGTATAAAAAATAATTCCAAGAGGATAGAATCCAGGTAGAACTCAATGTCCAGGACAGAGTAAGGATATAATAAAAAGGCTTAAGCACTAATATTCCAAGGTCCTAATATTAGTGTTTAAGCCTTTTTATTATATATATATATATATATATATATATATATATATATATTAATCATTTCATCTCAAGCAAGGTGATAATAGACATAATGATGCAAGATTATACTGAAGGTGAAAGAAACAGAGAGGACAATGAAAGAACATGATTCAAGGAGACAGAAGGGGACAATAAAAGAACATGATTCAAGGAGACAGAAGGGGACAATAAAAGAACATGATTCAAGGAGACAGAAGGGGACAATAAAAGAACATGATTCAAGGAGACAGAAAATGATAATTAAAAAAGTATGATTCAAGGAGACAGAAGGTGACAATAAAAAAAACCATGATCAAGGAGACAGAAGATGAAAATAAAAGAAAAAAACATGATCCAAGGAGACAGAAGATGGTAATAAAAAGTCGGGACTGAAGGAATCAGAAAATGACAAATTGACATTGCATTTAAATTTTTGAAGTTTGTAGTTGACAAAAAAGCAGTCATCCGGAAGAGGGTTCCACAAGTGATTTGTTTGGAGATTCTGAGAGGCATTATTTCATCATTATACAAGTTTTTAATATTTGTTTAATCCTTTTTGGTTGTTTTAGCACCAGATTTTGAACCAACCTATGTTTCTTAAGCTTAAAAATTCCTTATAATAGACATGCTTTTAGATTTTGAGAGAAAATTTCTTTTTATTTTATTAACTTTGAATACTTTTTTGAAGCGTTTGTTAAATTTTTATGTTTATAGCATTTACTTATGAGGAAACAACTAATATTACCATGACCATTGTCGGAAAGTTTTGTACAGATTTATGCTATCTCCAATTGAAATAAACAGCTCTGAAGTTATACAATGAGATTCCCAGTCACATTTTTATATTTCTTTGTTTGTAAACTACAGAGTTTAATTTAACAACTGAAGAATATATCATTGTGAAAAAGAGAAAGAAAAAACAGTTAAATGTGTCTAAGAAAAAGGAGGTTGAAATTTCTGTGACACATATGGAAAGAAGGCTTGGAAAATTTGACACTCACAAGATATATTGAACCAAGAGGGACAGAGAGAAGTAGTGAGTATATGGATCGCAGAACAGGGAGTGGGAGGGATGGTAAAAAAGACAAACACTGCTAAGAGCTACAAAAGATAGGATGTTGTGGAAAACCATGATCACCTATGTCATGATGTATCACAGCAAACAAATGAAGATAAAAATTCTCATAGTAACTTTGGTTAGAAAGCATCTTAGAAGAACTAACAGGATTTTTTGCCTGATATGTTTTTGAGATGAAGACAAAAAGTATGGGAATCAGAGATTTGGTTTATTGCTTTTACATTCTCAAGAGCAGCAGTTGGTAACTATTCAATATTGGAGAGAATTCTTCTTGGAAAAACATATTTTTAAACAAAAAATGCACAGCTTAGCTTCAGGTAAGCAATCTATTAACAATGATACGGACAGAAATCTCTGGTAAGTTTGTAGTTTGAAAAGAAATAGCAGAAACATTTATATTTTTAAGAATTTTGCTTTTATTACGCAAGTGAACAAAAATATTTCGAATTTTCAAAGTTGTGGAAAGAAAAATCTTATTATAGTCGTTCAGTTACTTGAATGAATGAATTAAATAAAAAATACAAAAACAATCACTTGGAGGAATTTTTTTATCCCTTTTATTAAAAATGTTAGATTTAGACCAAAACAATAGGAGAGAATACTTTAGTAATCATAAAAGAAATAGAAAAAAGAGCAAACAAGATATGAATCAGTTTCTGATGAATTAAATACACACACACACACATATATATATATATATATATATATATATATAATAAACACACACATATATCTATACATATATATATATATATATATATATATATATATATATATATATATATATATACCCAAATACATAAATAAATAAATTCCCAAGAGGATAGAATCCAGGTAGAACTCAATGTCCAGGGCAAAACAAGAATATAATATAAAAGGCTCAAACATTAATATTCCATGGTTATAATTTATGACATTGGAATCGTAATCACAATCCAATTCATCAGACCTACAAATTCAAAAAGAAATTGAAAAATATAACTCCAGGTATAAAAAACAAAATTTTAGTGAGAGAGTATATGAGGGAGTGGGAAACAAGTGTGAGAGGGATATGTATGAAAGCTCTAGAGAGAGGGGTAACAGAAGAAGAAAGGTGAAAGTGGAGATTAAAATTTAACAGAGAGAAGTTATTTATTATATAAAAGTTATATATTATTTAAAAGAGTGAGATACAGATAAATATGAATTATTTTTGATGCATAATTCGTTACAGTTTGGCTGACCTAAAATTAAAATGAAAAAAACAGACATTTGTATTTGTTCAACACCTACAGAGCCAACCTGTGGTTTATACTGCAACTATGCTGAGCAGATCTTAGAAGAAACATCATGCTATCTAGTTTGATCAACAATCTGAACCAGGCCAGCATGTTCAAACCCTCTGTCACGAGGACTTGTGACTTCATGCTAGCACATCTATCGAAGGCACCCACCCATAATATAGTTTTCCAGCACTTTCCAAAGGTGCCACATGCTAGGATCACACCCTCCAGACCAATAACATCAGGATTTCTCCTTCCTGACAAATCATCAGTCATGAGATTCAAACCTGGGGTCTTACGGTCAGAAAGCGAACGTTCTAACCACTTGCCC